CTGAATTTTCACATTTCTGCATCGAGTGGCCTCTTCACTTCAAGCTATCTCCTAATTCCAATCCTAGAGCATCCTTTCACATTAAGGACCAAGGTTTCTCCTGCCCTTCTTTGCCAAAATTCCCCATTTGCCAAATTTCTCAAAATTTCTCCATGTCCGGAATTTTAAATCTACCTCAGTCTATGTTCTAGAATACACAATAAAGTGGTCAGATACTAGTTCCATATGCAGAATCACCATGAAGGAGACAGCCACAAAATGAACTGTATTGGTAATTCAAATTCTATAAATGATATTGCCCTTTGATTTACAGCATTCCAGGAAAATTTGATATATCTTAAAACTGTGTGGAAAACAGTTTATGTTTATATATAAAAATAGATTTTAGGCTCAGAAAATTATAAAAAAATTTTTTAACTGCATGAATGAGCAGTGGGACAACCAGCTCACACAGGATGCAGGACAATCCTTTGCTGTGCAGAACTGTCCTGGTCAGTGGAAGGTGTCTAGTATTTTCGATCCCACTAACTATATTCCAGTAGTGCCCTGCTCCCTGATATGGATTGGCTCTGTGTCTCCACCCAAATCTCATTTCAAATTGTAATCCCCGTGTGTCAAGGGAGACAGGTATTGGATCATGCAGGCAGCTTTCCCCATGCTGTTCTCATGATAGTGAGTGAATTCTCACCAGATCTGATGGTTTTATAAGTGTTTGGAAGTTCCTCCTTCACAGCACTTCTCTCTTTCTGGCCACCTGGTGAAGATGGTGTATGCTTCTCCTACCTCCATGATTGTAAGTTTCCTGAGGCCTCCCCAGCCATGCAGAACAGTGAGTCAATTAAACCCTTTCCTTTATAAATTATCCAGTCTTGGATATTTCTTTATATCAGTGTGAAAACACACTAATACACTCCATAATCACTGGGACAAGTAAAATCACTGCTAAATTTCCAAAAGAACCCCTGGAAGCAGTTCCATCCCAATAGATTTTTGATCTATAAATCCAGAGGCCTCTTTTCTTGTCATTGGCTACCTCTCTAGAGCATTTGACCTGTTGAGAAACTGCTCCTCATCTCTTCATCCTCTTTTGCATCCCATGTCACTGCAGCCCTGCAGCCTTCCTTTCCTCCTAAACCAATTCCTGCCTGGTATCATTATCTAACTTCTCACCTCACCCTGCCCACCCTGCTGTCCTTCCTTTTTCCTCTCCACATGCTGTTCAACTTCCTCTCCTAAGTAATTGACTCTCAAAGTGCCATTTGTACATGAAAAACCAAATCAACATTTCCAACTGCCACTTGGTCATTCACACAGAGAAAGCCTTAAGTTATGCATGTCCAAAATCAAACTACAGGTCTACCTTGGGAACATTGTGGGTTCAGTTCCAGACCACCTCAATAAAGCAAATATTGCAATAAAACAAGTCACAAACAAGATTTGGTTTCCCAGTGCATATAAGTGTTATGTGTACACTATACTGTATTCTATTCAGTGTGCAATAGCATTATATCTTTTAAAAAGCACTTACCTTAATTTAAAAAACACTTTATTGCTAAAAATAATGGTAATGATCTTAAAGCCTCCAGCAAGTCATAATCTGCTGGTGGAGGGTCTTGCTTTAACGTTGATGGCTGGTGAGTGATCAGGATGGCAGATTGCTGATGGTTGGCATGGCTGTGGCAGTTTCTTAAGATAACAGTAAAGTTTGCCACATCAATTGACTCTTCCCTTAAAGAACGATTTCCCTGTAGCATGTGATGCTATTTAACAGCATTGTTTATCACATAAAACTTCTTTCAGAATTGGAGTCAATCCTCTAAAACATTGATGCTGCTTTATCAGCTATGTTTAGACAATATTCTAAATTCTTTGTTGTCATTTGAACAATGTTCATAGCATATTCGCCAGGAATAGTTTCTATCTCAAGAAACCACTTTATTTGCTCAATCATAAGAAGCACCTCAAGTTTGATTATGAGATTGCAGCAATTCAGCCTCCACTTCCAATTCTACTTCTCTCGCTATTTCTATCACATCTGCAGTGACTTCATCCATTGGAGTCTTGAATCCCTCAAAGTTATCCACGAGGCTTGGAATCAGTTTCTTTCAAACTCATGTTAGTGTTATATTTTTACCTCCTCCCACGAATCATGGCTGCTCTTAATGGCATATAAAATGATAAATGCCTTCCAAAAGTCTTTTAATTACTTTGCCCAGTTCTATCAGAGGAATCACTGTCTGTGGCAGCTATCGCATTATAAAATGGATTTCTTAAATAGTGAGAATTGAGAGGCAAATTTGCTGCTTACTCCATGGGCTGCAGAATGGATGTTGTACTAACTGGCACGAAAACAACATTCATCTTCTTGTACATCTCCATCAGAGTTCTTGGGTGAGCAGGTGCACTGTCAGTGAGCACTAATATTTAAAAAAAAAAATTTCTGAGTAGTAGTAACTATTCAGGAATAGTAGTAAATATTCTGAGTAGAGTAAAATATTCAGGAAACCATATTGTAAACAGATAGGCTGTCGCCCAGGCCTTTTTGTTTCATCTATAAAGCACAAATAAAGTCAATTTAGCATAATTCTTGAGGGCCCTAGAATTTTCATAAGGGTAAATAAAAATTGGCTTAAACTTAAGGTCGCTGGGTGCATTAGCCCCTAATAGGTCTGTCCTTTGAAGCTCTGAAGTCAGGCTTTGACTTCTCTCTGGTTAGAGAAGTCTTAGATGGCATCTTCTTCCAATAGGCTATTAAGTCTACATTGATAAACTGCTGTTTATTGTAGCCGCCTCCATCTATCTTTGCTAGATCTTCTGGATAACTTGTTACAGCTTCTCCATCAGCACTTGCTTCTTCACCTTGTACTGTTATGTTATGCTTCTTTTCTTAAACCTCGTGAACCAAACTCTGCTAGCTTCAAACTTTTCTACAGTTTCATTACCTCTCTCAGCCTTGAGTTAGGGCCTTCCTCCTGACTAGGCTTTGGCTTAAAGGAATGTTGGGGCTGGTTTGATCCTCTATGCAGACCACTAAAATTTTCTGCATATCAGGAATAAGGCTGTTTCATTTTCTTATCATTCAGGTATGCACTAGGATAGCACTTTTAATTTCCTTCGAGAACTTTTTGTTTGCATTCACAATTTGGCTAAGTGTTTGCCACAAGACACCTAGCTTTTGGCCTATCTGGGTTTCTGACATGCCTTCCCCAGTAAGTTTATCATTTCTAGCTTTGATTTGAAGTGAGAGAAGTATGACTTCCTTTCACTTGAACACTTAAGAGGCTACTGTAAGGATATCAATTGGCCAAATTTCAATATTGTTGTGTCTCAGGGATAGGGAGGCCCAGGAGATGGAGAGAGGCAGGGAATAGCTGGTAGATGGAGCAGTCAGAACACACACAACATTTGTAGATTAATGGGCATCGGCTGTGGCACCCTAAAACAATTACAATCATAACATCAGAGATCAATGATCACAGATCACCATACTAGATACAAGAAAAATGAAAAAGTTCAAAATTTAACATGAATGCCCCAAATGTGACAGGGACATGAAGTGAGCACATACTGCTGGAAAATTGCACCAATAGACTTGCTCAACACAGGGTTGCCAAAAACCTTTAATTTGTGAAATAAACGAAAAAACCACAGTCTGTGAACTACAATAAAGCAAAGCACAATAAAATGAGGAAGGCCAGTAGTTCTCTTCCTCCAAATCCTGTTATTCCATCAGTTGTATCAATTTATGAGAATGGCAACATCATCTACTTAATCTAGAAGTAACAACCAATTTGATTCATTCTTCCTTCCGTACATCCAACTGATTGCACTCTCTGTCCATTTTCTCTATCTCATGGCAACATAGTTGCCTTTCTATCAATGTAGTTGAAGCTATCCTTGTCAGTAGCTTAGAGTATTGTCACAGCCTCCTAACTGGTACTTCCACTCCAATTTATTTTTTGATACTTACACAAAGGGAATTTCTGCAGATAATAATAGTAGCTAACATTAATTGCCTATCATATGCCAGGAACTATACTATGTGCTTCCTGTCTCTTTTAATATGCACAGCTACATCATAAAGTCAGAACTTTTTTTTTTTTTAACTTTACAGATGAGGCAAAAGAGGTTTGGGAGATTAAAGAATTTACCTAAGTTCACAGAGGTAGCTCAGAAATTACAACACCAGGAATCCAAGGTCTTTGGCTTCTAAAAACCCTGTTTGTTTTTGCTTTCTTTGCTTCTAGCTGTTTGCAATCTTAATGTTTATCTTTCTTTGCTTCTAGCCTGTTTGCAATCTTCAATGTCTATCCCTGTCCCATCTGCCTTTTCCTTCTCCTTCCATTCTTCCAACCCATGAGTCCTTCTTTTGGTTTTACTTATTTCCTTAAAGATTTACTTGTTAGCCATTTCAAGGAAGTCCTTCACTACAGGCTCCTTCTTCCACCATGTCCACATCTGTCCCCAGCCCTCTTTCTCTCCAGTCTCTCTTCCCAGCTGCTAAGAGAGGCTGGAAAAAGAAATGAATACACAGGATAGCTCCAACCTCTGCAGATGCAGATACACAAAACTCCCTGCATCTTTAGCTTTTCTCTAACTCTCAGGGTTGCTTTATGGTTCTGATATAATGAACCAATCAAGTACAAAGTGCCTTGTAAAGAGAGCTATAAAGCACCCTGCACGTGTAAGGTGCAACTAACTATTCACCCTCCTTTTACATGCTCAGGGCTTCAACTGAGTTACTCTGTGAGCAAGAATATTCTGTGTGCATCCAAGCAGAGAATGGCACATGTGTGTTCAAGGTGAAGGGAGAATAGAGCCCTAAGTAATATTGATGTTGGCCAGGAAAATCTCTACTTAACATTACTGCCAGAGTCCAGCTTAAAACTTCATTGAGGTTGACATAAGCGAGTAAGACAGGAAGAAAATAGTATTTTCTCACTTTAAAAATCTCTCGAGGAGGGTTCCCCTCCCCCCAGCACCCTCGAAGTTTGAAGTTTTTGCAAACATCTTCCCTTGCATTCACAAAGTCCTGCCCAGGTTCCTGTCCCTTCTAGTCCTGGCCGTCCCTCTTCCCGGGGGCTTCCACCCCTCCGACCCCCGCCGACCCGGGGTGGACTACAATTCCCGGCGTGCCGCGCGCGTCCGGCCGGCTGCACCGGGGCTTTGCGCGTGGCGGCCACCGAGCTCCTCGCGCGCGGGGCAAACCTCCCGGCGCGGCCATGCGGGGAGGTAAGTGATCCGCTTGTGCGGCCAGGGCTTGGGAAGGCGCCCGTCCTCTCCTCTCTCCAGGATGAAAAAAACAAACGAAGAATGCCGCAGTGAAAACCGCCCTGCCCTCCCTCATCTCGGCCGTGTGTCCAGTGCTCCTGCAGCTCGTGCACCCACGGGCATGGGCTCTCACCCTGGCGTGGAATTGGGGGCAGAATAGTGCCCTGCCCCACGGAGAGCCGGGGCTCGCCTGGGGCTGCTGGCAGGGCTCGGGGAGCTGGACGGGGTGGTGGCAAGACTCGGAGGGGTGCCCCGCGAGCGCCACACCTCCACACTCCACTTTCCAAAGGCCAGCTTCCCCGGGGAGCCCCCACACTAAACGCCAGCGAACCGTCTCTCCGTGAAAGTCTTAGCCAGAAACTTTCCCCGCTGTGTCGCCAATGCCACAGAGAGTCGCGTGGCTCTCGGCCGGCGCTGCTGATCCCAGAGGCAGCCTGGCGTCTTCAGTCCCAACCGTCCCATCTCCATGCCAGTTCTCACTTGCCCCTGAGACTCCATTCCCGGCGCAGAGAGGTCGGCTCTGCCGTCGGAAGGCTTCAGGCTCGACGCGCCTGGGGTCGGATCCCGGGAGGCAGGGACCGGCGGCTCCTTTGGGACTCCCTAGGCGAGTCCTTTTTGCCTGGGGGATGAAAGCTGATCTAGAAAAGAAGCCAATCAAAGTCAACAGCTTGCAGCCCTTCCATACCGCCTCTCCTCCAGCTACCTGAGCTCATTCCCAAGTGGGTCTAAAGTTCTGCTCCACAATCCTGACGCCAAAGTTATTTCAGTATATAATTTGGAGATTTCAGGATCTCCAAAGTTATCTCAGCATATCCCATAATGTGCTGGATCAGAAGGTCTTGTTTGGTTGCCTCTCTCCCTCATCCCCACACACCACATACACACATACCCCACATACCTACCACACCCACACACAAAATACACCAGATAGTGCACACATCACACACCACACTTAATGCTACACACTACGCACATGTCTTTTTTTATCAGCAAAGGATTGATGTCAAACAGTTTGTTGGAGGCAGTGTGTGAGTACTAGTGTGTGTGTGTGTGTGTGTGTGTATATATATTTATATTCACAAGTGACAGTTTACTACCAAAGTTAGAAACTAGCTGGTACATGAAACCTCCTGTTGTCAAAAATTAGAGTGTCTTTGGGGCTCACTTTTTATAAAATGGTATTAACTTCCTACAACATCTTCTGAAACTTTACTCTTGTGTCACAGGCAAACTTTTGATCACAGCAGGCCAGATGGGAGGGGATGTCCCTTTGTATATGTAGGAAGAGATGCTTGGAAAAACTTCAGAGAATCCTTTCTCCTGTGGCCGTGTCTTAAGGAAGAGCTGGGTGTAGCTACAGTTTCTTTGCTTTTTCCGCTTCAGGAGTGGAGAGCTGAATATGCTTTTGTTCTGAGCAGCAGTGTCAGGACAACCCCCGCTCCTCTGCACACAGAGCTCCCAGTCCAGCCTGCTTCCAATTTGAATTTACTGGGAGAATATATTGTTCAGGAATTTCAGATCAAGTCCAAAAGCATTATGGAATCTGTTGGTGAAAGAGCTCTTTATCTCTATAAGAGTCCATCATTTGAGATCAGCACTGGTGAAAAATCCACATGCCTGATCCATGCTCAGAAGATAGCGCTCAAAAATATTTAAACATTTACAATTGGTTCCTAGATTACTATTGTTCGTTTGCCTTTTCAAGGAAGCAATGGCAAATATTTGAACTCATTCTAGGCAGTGATCTTCAAGGAAGTCGAAAGTTTCTAATATAATTCCTGGATTAAGTAAAGGACAAATTTTTGACCTTGAAATTCAGGTACCAAATTTGAATCAAAGTTGATCTCCTAGTGTCTTTAAAAATTATTTTTTAAAAGGAGGCAGGCATTTTTCTCCTCGGATTCTACCCGAATTCTACAGGGTATTACAGCAACAGATAACTTTTTTCCAGGATCTTTCTGGGGAACCTGTGTTCTCTGCCCTATCTTGAGTGGTTTTGTTGACTATCTTGACCTAAAAGTGTCCAAATGAAGAGGCAACCATGTACGTTTTCTGTGTATGTGCAGAGCATTTATGGGATGAGACTGTTCCACTGGAGAAGTGGTTTAAGCAAAGCAAGGGAACTGTGAGAATGACCAGTATAACTTAAACAAAAGATGTTGCCTAGCCTCTCTGCTCCATCTCCGAGTTTTCTGATTTGGTATTTAGAATGATGGCAGGAGAGACTGAATTTTGGGGTGGGTATAATATCTTTCTATTCATATGTAACAAATATAGTACCAGGCGCTCATAGATTGTAAGTGATGGTTGAATTTCTCAAATTATGCTTTTTTTGCAACTAGGATAAACAGTTAAAGTTAAACCTCCCAGAACTAATTGTTTTTCTTTTGTAGAATAAGGTTTTGTTTGTTTCAGTTTGAATTTTGCTGGCTTCATTTGGCAGGATAAATGTCAAAATAAAAGAATGTGGGCATATTCAGGAGATCTGGTCATCTATTTTGCATCCTCTCTGAAATATGTTACTTCCTGCATAATGAAGTAAAAGGATTTGCTGCTGAGCAGTACTTTCCTCATTCTCACAAAGGGATTACTTAAAAGCCAGCCCTGGGAACTTTGTCCAGGAATCTCTATTGGGAAAAAAAAAGAGTAAAACAGGGACTGCAGCTTCCGAGTGTTCTCTGGTTATAGCCCATAAGCACTGTATTCTCACTCTTATTTTTCCCTAAGGGGAGAAAAAGAAATAGTTTGAAGCATGACATTCATGCTCAGAACAACAGCTAAGACCTATCATACAGCAACAATGAAGGGGAGGGAGAAAATAAGAAGCTATTAAGACAGCTTGTTTTTCTTTGTACAAGACAGGTGCAGGGAGAATTCTGCAGGTTTTGGACTCCTGATTCATTCACTTGCACTAATTTTGCTGAAGGTAGTTAGCAAAAGTGAACAGGCACACTGTAGCTTTAAAAAGTCAGCCATGAACCAGAAGGCAGTTGGTGCAGCTTGTGTGTGATTCCTAACGTCATGTTGGCTGAGAGCCAGCCTGGTTTTATTTCACTGTGTCAAATTGTACCTCCTTATTGAATTCCTTTGCCAGCCTACTTTGTGAAAGAAAACATTGGGGTTTCTTTGGCTGTTCTTGATAAGCCTATAAAAAATGATATTTTTTAGTTGCTTATAGGTAGGTTTTCTTTTTACTCTTCCACAAAAAAAGAAAATAATAGTAATAATAATAAGACAATGTAGTGTGATGTTGCAGAGTATCATTGTGAGTGTTTTGTTTTGTTTTGTTTTCTGAGATGCTTAGAAAATGGTGAATGTGTAAGTTTCCAACTGAAGTGAAATCATATTCTGTTAGCATGGAGCAGCAGCACTATCTTCCTGTGTACTCTAACGGTGTGTGAATGTATGCTAATATCTATATGTATATTAAATGTTGAATTTCTCTATCAATAATCTAAGTGGTTTAGCAACTGGAAGTTTGTGTGTATGTGTGTTTCAGGAGTGAAGATTATCCCACACTTACAGTTTTATTTGTTAATCATCTACTTCTCTCACAGTGATAAAATCTTGCGAATATACTAAATGATGCACTTGCCATGTAAGAGTAATCCCTAGAGAAGGAGTGCCGAAGTATAAAGTGATTTTAGTGGGAATGTATTTAATTTATGGCTTCAGCTGAATAAGAGCAAACACGTTTCGGGACTGTTTCTTCCTTTTTCTTTTTTTCTTAAAGCAGTTTTGTTCGTAGCTTTTTCATTTTGCTAATTGCATATTAATTGAGGCAGGCTTTTAATTTTTCACAGCCCTCATCCTAAACAAAAAGACAGAGTGATGGATGCTACAATATCTCCTTAAATGTTTTGATGATTTTTCATACATCTAATGAGCTACCTACTCTTTCTTACACACATACATACACACACACACACACACACACACCAGCACCACCTTTCTGTGCTAAGGACTATCTGGCATTTTTTGTGAGCTTCCTGCTTTACCACAGCATGGCCATCTCACAGATTCGTTGAGAATGTGAGGTAGGGGAATACTTGCTGACAAAAGCTTTAAGTGTCCTTCTGCATTGCAATGAAACAATCTAGGAGCAAGGGGGAGTGGACAAAAAAACAAATGCAATAAGAAAAAACAAATCACAGCCCATAATGGGAGGGGGGCAGGAAAAGGGGGATTGTTTTTCTCTACTTTGACTCATTTATGAGTTGCAGTGTCTTAAGTGAGAGCTAAGCACCCAGAAGAAGCTGTGCTAGTTCACACAGCACTTGTTTTGAACGAGGATTCAATTTCATTTGCAAATGCTTATTGTCAAGGCAGGGAGTGCCAGTACAGATGAAAGCACCCCAGTCTGTCTCCAGTTCTTTAGGTTTAATCACATCTCTCCAATCGCCGAGGGAACTGGAGATTTAAACAAACAGACGTGAACTGGTGTGAAGCTGTAAAAGGGACCATTATGTTTCTGATTCAGAATATATATTCTTCTCTCACTTTCTAAGAATTAAACACAAGCTTTTCTCCCTTATTGATTAGTTGCTGAAGTAAAGGAACCCTGCAGCCTTCCCATGCTATCTGTTGACATGGAAAACAAGGAAAATGGCTCTGTCGGTGTAAAAAAGTAAGTGAAGCTGGCTTCTGAGTTCTGCTTCTGCAAACAACAGAGGGACTTGGTTTCTATTTTCGTACTTCTTGCTTATCTGCTACAATACACAGTTTGGGGGTCGCCTTGGTTTGTCTACACTGGCCACCATTCTCTCTTCTCCCCTCTACCCCAGTTACCTTTTTCTGTATTCCATTTCTAAGACAGAGATGACTCAGACATCAAAATATATATAAAAGGTTTGTGTATCAGGCTTTGGAACAAGGATGGTTGAGGATTTCAGCCCTGCATTCTGTATGTTGAAACAAAACCTCCAAGCAGAGACTCTTCCATAGACAACACAGAATGAGGGCAGAAAATAGAGTTTGAGTTTTTTTCTGAAATACAATCACTTCTAACTGAAAACTAAGAGCTATAGTGCAGGAAGGGAAAAATCTTCAGTAAGAATACTAGTTTAACAACTTCTCTGTCCTAATTTTATGAACTGTTTAATGAATGTGAAACATTTCAGTGCATACATGGTGTTTATTGTAATGTCTGTTCTCACATTTGAAACTTGTGTTTATGTGTTGTGTAAGAGTTATATACTTGATTCTTTTAAATAGGAAAATTCAATTGCATTATGTAACATAATATTTTGATATTTATGAGTCTATAAAAATGTACATTCTCAGGAGTTATAGCAAAGCAATAACTACTTTGATTACAAGGAGAAAGTAAGTTCCAAGAGGGAGTTATCTGTTTCATTCCTTTCCATATCATTTAGTTTAAAGTCACCATCAACTGAGCTTTGGAGGAAACTAATTAAATATAATCCATAGAAGCTGTGATATCTAAATGAGGAAGCAGTGTGCTATATGTTTATGAATAGAAGGTATATTTTGCTTCACGGCAAAGTTACATTAAAACTAACTTAATAAAATCTATTTTTTAAAGTTCTTGGGTAATTTATGTATCAGCGCCATATTGTGATGCTTATTACCATCCCTGAAGTTTGGGGTAGGTAGGTGGAGGAGAAGTGAAAGAAACAGATGCTGTTTTAAGCATAAGTTAGATCAGTGTTATCCAACAGTACTTCAACAGTGATGGAAATATTCTGTATTTCGGCTGTCTAAAATGGTAGCCACTAGCCACATGTGTCTAAGAACATGAAATGTGAGTAGTATAAATAGGAAACTGAACTTTTAATTCTACTTAATTGTAATTAGTTTTAAAATTAATGGCTTTACTGAAGTATAATCTTTGCATAATAAATTGCATGTGTGTAAAATATAAAATATGGTAAGTATTGATATTTTTATCTCCTCTTGAAATTACTACCACAATTAAGATAATGAACATTTCCATCACTTCCAAAATTACCTTATGACCTTTTGTGATCTCTCCCTCCTCTCCTTTTCTGCCCCTGTATCTGCTGGCAACCACTGTTATGCTGTCATTATAAATTATTTTGCTTTTTCTAGAATTTTATATTAATGAATGTGTATACACATACACATATATACTTTCTGTCACTCAGCATAAATTTGGGATTTATCCACATTATTGTGTATATCAATACCTCATTACTTTTTATTACTGAGTAACGTTTCATAGTTTGGATCTACAACAATTTGTTTACTATCATCCATATGATGATAGACATTTGGGTTGTTTCTATTTCTTAGGTATTATAAATAAAGCTGCTTTGATCATTTTTGTGCAGGTCTCTGTGTGGACATATGCTTTCATTCTCATTCATAATTACTTAGGAATGGAATTGGCTGGGCTCTGTGGTGGATGTCTGTTTAACTTTTTAAGAAACTGCCAAACTCTTTTTTGAACTGATTGTCCCATCTTCATTCTCACCAGCAGTGTGTGAAGTGTTCCAGTTGCTCCACGTCCTCATGAGCTTAGTGTGATCATTTTCATATTAGACATTATATCAGGTGTTTTATGTTTTAATTTTAATTTCCCTCATGACTAATGATGTTAAGCATCTTTTCCTGTGCTTATTTGCCATTCATGTATCTTCCTAGATAAACTGTTAAGTCTTTTGCTCATAGTTTTATTGGGTTAGTTTTTTTCATATTTATTGTATAGAGAGTTTTTATATATTATGAATATGTCCTTTATCATATATATTATTAGAAAATATTTTCTTTGAGTATGTGACCTGTCCTTTCATTCTCTCCATAGTATCTTTCAAAGTACGAAAATTTTTAAATTTTAATGAAGTCAGTTTAATCCATTTTTTTCTTTTATGGATAGTGCTTTTGGTGTCATATTTAAGAATCTGGCCTAATGCAAGGCTACTATTATTTTCTCCTGTGTTTTCTTTTAGAAGTTTTATAGTTTTAGGTTTCAGGGTTTAGGACTATGATTTTTGAGTTAATTTTCGTTTGTGCTGTGAGATAAGGGCTTGAAGAGTTGAAGTGCTTTGTGTGGTGGTGGTAGTGGTGCTGGATTTTTGCCTATGGATATCCAATCTTTTCACCTCTGTTCAAACACTTCTGCAACTTTGTTGAAAAATAATTGATCGTATATATGTGGGTTTATTTCTGACTCTATTCTATTCCATTGATCTTTTTGCATATATTTATGCCAATACACACTGTTTTGATAAATATAACTTGAAATCAGGTAGTGTTAGCCATCTAACTGCGTTCTTTTTCAAGGTTGTTTTGCCTCTGTACATGAATTTTAGAGTTAGCTTGTCAATTTCCACCAAATTCTTTTTTAGAATCTGTTACATTTTGATTGACATTACATTGAACTATATATCAGTTTGGAGACAGTTAACATTTTAACAATATGATGTCTTCCAACAAATGAACACAGTACTTTTCCCCATTTACTTAGATCTTTAATTTCTCTCAGCAATGATGTGCAGTTTTCACTATGCAGATCTTGCACCTTTTTGCCAGACACATCCCTAATATTTCATGTTTTTGATGCTATTTTAAGTGATATTGATATTTTAATTTGAATTTTCAATTATCTTATTATATATAAATAGAATTGATTTTTATATTGATCTTATATGCCACAACCTTGCTAAACTCACTTATTACTTTCAGTAGCTTTTTAGTAGATTACACCATATTTTGTAACATAGACAATTATATCTTGTGAATAAAGACAGTTTTACTTCTTCCTTCCCAATCTGAATGCCTTGTATTTCTTTATTCTTCTTTATTACACTGAGAAGACCCTCCAGTGAAAAGTTGGAAAAAGTCGTGAGCTGGGTGCTGGGAGGCCAAAGTGGGCAGATCACTTAAGATTAGGAGCTTGAGACCAGCCTGGCCAACATGTGAAAACCCCATCTCTACTAAAAACACACACACACACACACACACACACACACACAAAGAGAGAGAGAAATTAGCTGGGTGTGGTGGTGCGTGCCTATAATCCCAGCTACTCAGGAGGCTGAGGCAGGAGAACCCCTTGAACTGGGGAGGCAGAGGTTGAAGTGAGTCAAGATTGTGCCACTGCACTCTGGACTGGGTGACAGAGCGAGACTCCGTCTCAAAATAATAATGACAATAATAATAATACAATAAGAAAAAATAAAGAAAAAAGTGAAAACAGGCATCCCTTTGTTCGTCATCTAAGACTTTTTCATATCTACGTTCTTCTATGTGTGTGTGTCTTTTTTTCTGTGTGCTTTTAAGATATTCTTTTTTTCATTGGTGTCTTAAGCAATTTGGTTATGAGACTTGGTGTGGTTTCCGTCATGTTTCTTGTGCTTTGTGTTTGTTTGGTTTCCTGGATCTCTGCATGGGCCTAATTTTCATCAAGTTTTGAAAATTGTCAGCCATTATTTTTCAAATATTTTTGGTCTCTCCCTTTTTCTTTGGGGAACTCCAGTTTTACGTGGATTTGCCCACTTGATATTGTCCCATAATTCATTGATGAACAGTTCGTTTTGTTTTTTGGTTTTTTTTTTTGAGACGGAGTTTCACTCCTGTTACCTAGGCTGGAGTGCAATGGTGCGACATCGGCTCACCGCAACCTCCACCTCCTGGGTTCAGGCAATTCTCCTGCCTCAGCCTCCTGAGTAGCTGGGATTACAGGCATGCCCAGCTAATTTTTTTGTATTTTTAATAGAGACAGGGTTTCACCAGGATGGTCTCAATCTCTTAACCTCATGATCCACCCGCCTCGGCCTCCCAAAGTGCTGGGATTACAGTCAGTTCATTTTTTTAAAGTCATTTTCTCTGTGTTTCATTTTTGATAGCTTCTATTGCTTTGCATTCGTGTTCACTAATCATTTCTTCTAAAATGTCAAATTGTTGTCAATTCCACCAATGCATTTTTCATTTCAGACAATGTAGTCTTTTTAAAATTGTTTTAGTCAGAAAAGTAAATATGGCCCCCATTACTCCATCTTGATTGGAGGTAGAAATGCCATTTAATTTATATAGCCACAGGTTACTAGTGGCTAACACTGAATAGGGCAGAGTTATATTATAATGCAGACTCCAGAAAGAGAGAAAACATAGAGTCTTAAGGCTATATTGTGGAGGGGCTGCCATATACCTTGTAGGATGTTTGTCAGCATCCCCAGCTTCTACCAACTAGTTGCCAGCAGTATGCCTCTCCAGCCTTGACAATCAAAAATGTCTCCAGACACTGCCAAATGTCCCTGAGGGGAAAAATTGGCCTCAGTTTAGAACCATAGGCTAACCCCCACCTGAGTAATGTGTGACAGGGTGGCTTCTAGGCATCAGAAACGAGCTGACATATTTGTACTGGTTATTTCTTAAACTCTTAAAAGATCATGGAGTTTTAAATATTCCAGTTTGAAGCTTCTGCTTTCTTTCTTTACATATCACCGAAGAGAAGGGCAGAGAAGAAGAGAGGTAAAATATTAACTTTTTGGAGAATGTGGGCAAAACACACTATGGGATTCTTATACTATTCTTGCAACTTTTCTGTAAGTCTGAAATTTTTTTAATTAAAAAAAAAAAGCTATTTTATTAGTTGAGAAAGAAAATTTTTCTTCCTTTAGGAAAGAAGCAACACTCCTAGCCCAAATTGGAGACCAGGGGAAATTAAACACAGCATTGCAGTGGCAAGTCTCAAGTTTACAACACTTGAATTTTACCTTGCTTTTGTTTCTTAAATAGTAGAAGAATATTTAATAAATCACTGATTTCTCTCTGCCTCAGTTCTCTTGAATGTAAAATAGAAATAAAGAGTCGTGAGGATCAAAAGGAAGCAGTTATAAATTATAGAGTGATACAGCAGTGATAAACTTTATATATTACAGCCTTTTTTTTTTTAAAGTAAGTAAACAGGAGCTCAAGAAGTGAATACTTAAAAATGGCATGAGAAGGTGGCAAGCCTGAAGTTTGAACCCAGCTCTTCCAACTCCAAGATAACTTTTTTTTTCTTCATACAACTTTTGTTCTATAACTATCCTCACTCAGTCCCATAAACTGGAATGCATGTTGTTTTAGGCAGTCTTGAAGCAGGCATATTCCAAGGCTGGATCCTTGTTCTTCTGTCATTGCTACAAGAGATAAAAAAGGATAATTGAGATGCATATGCCAGGTCTTCTAATTTCAAACTTGTTGACCTAAATGACTGTGAAGGGATAAATGCTACCTTGAGAATTTTAAACAGATGTCATGCTGGACCCCTCTCCTCCCTTCCTTCTTAGATTCATTTATTCCTGCCAAAGTCTCCCAGCCTCAGCCCACAAAATTCTTAGATCTCTAATGTGGACCCTTGTTCAGATCTCTGTTATTCTGTATGAGTCAATATGATTTTGACATGACAGTCAAGGCTGATTCCACTTGAACACATTCTGAAATGGAAGAGTAAGTGAATCTTATATTGAATTTTATATTCAGGGTCTTCAATGGTAATAATCCACAAATCAATAAGAAAAGCACAAACAGAAAAATACCAAAGAAAAATGGCCAAAACATGGGCAAACATTCCATAGCAGAGGAAAAATATATGGCCAATTAACATATGAAGATATGTTTAGTACCATTAGTGACCAAGAAAATGCAGATTAAGATCATAATGATGTACCCATTCACTTGGCAAAAATTTAAAAATGTGGCAATACCAGTCAGCGAAGATATGGATAGGATACAATGCTAGTAGGAATATTAACTGATAGGGCAGCTTTGCAGAACAATTAGGTATTATTTTCTAGTGTTAATTGAATATTTTACAAATTAACAATTCAGTTTCTGAATATATATATATCAATCAGTGCTTCCCAACAGAAATAAAATCTGAGCCACATTTGTAACTTTCAGTTTTCTAGTGGTATATTTAAATAGGGAAAATAAATTTTAATAATATATTTTATTTAACTCGTATCATTTTAACATGTAATCAACATGACATTATCAATGAAATATTTTACCTTTTTTTTTTACTAAATTTCCTGAATCTGTTGTGTACTTTACACTCAAAGCAGGGGGGTTCAATCTTTTGGCTTCTCTGGGCCACATTGGAAGAATTGTCTTGGGCCACAGATAAAATACACTACCACTAACAATAGCGGATGAGCAAAAAGAAAAAACAAATCATAATGTTTTTAAAAAGTTTGCAAATTTGTGTTGAGCCACAGTCAAAGCCATCCTGGGCTGCATGGAACCTGTGGGCCACAGGTTGAACAAGCTTGACTTCTAGTAGCTCTCATTTTGGACATAACATTTTCACTGGACATATTTAATCTGCATTTATATTTCCTAAAATTTACAGTTCAAAAGGTAGCATCACATACCTAAGTAATTCCAAACATATTTTAAAAATTTTCAATAACTGAATTAAGGAGAAATTATTTTCTTGTAATATTTGCATCCACATTGACAAAACTGATTTGTCTTGATTTGACTTGGAAGCAAAAGCATATTGACTTCAAAGCTACATCTGTTCAAGTTAAGTCAATTTACTAACACGCGTCAACTCAATATTACCCACATTGAATTCAAAGGGGTTTTGCATAAATTGATAAGCAACAATGTTTATCAATTTCAATAAATATGCAAATTTCCTTGAAGTTTATTCATGATAGAAAATGTATGAAATTATTATTGTATATTATATTGCACTCTGAAAAGTTGCAATTTTAGTCTAAACTTTTGTTCCTCTTTAACTAGGTCACAAATTAGCTTTTCCTTTCCTTAGAACGTCAAATTTAGCTTTTTCATATGCTGTGTGCTATCAAAATTACTCAGTAATTTTTGTCTTTAATTTTTGAATATTTGGCCAGGCATGGTGGTTAATGCCTGTAATCCCAGCACTTTGGGAGGCTGAGGTGGGCAGAACTTGAGGTCGGGAGTTCAAGACCAGCCTGGCCAACATGGTGAAACGCCGTCTCTACTAAAAATAAAAAAATTAGCTGGGTATGGTGGCGGGCACCTGCAATCCTAGCTACTTGGGAGGCTGAGGCAGGAGAATCGTTTGAACCTGGGAGGCGGAGGTTACAGTCAGCTGAGATCATGTCACAGCACTCCAGCCTGGGTGACAGAGCAAGACTCTGTCTAAAAAAAAAAATTAATATTTAACAAGCATTTCTTTTGTTTCAACAAAATCTTGAACAGTACAGCAAATCTTTGTAAATCTTTTCCTTACTTAATCAACAAACATTGGTAAAGAACACAGATTATGACGTTCATTGTCTTCTATTTCTTTTAGCAGTTCCATTAACTAGCATTCATCCATTACACTGAACAGTTCAACAATAGCATCTGTAACACTTTTCAAGTTTGCTTCAGAAAACACAACATAGATACCATGCAGTGGAATGAAGGAGTAAGAAAACATTGGTCTTTTGTTTTAAAATTACAATAAATTCCAATTTTTAAAATTCAGATTTTTTTTTAAAACTAACATTGCTGAAGCACCATCCATCTGGATAGAATTTAATTTTTGTTATCTGACTAAAATTCTTTGACAGTTAAAAGATTCAAAAATATCTAAACCATGAATTTAGTTTTTCAAGTTGTAAATTGATGTTTCTTTATAAATTAGGGAATCTTTTGAGATAAAACATACCTTAAGTATTAATGAGGCAGTGTCTTTATGTTGTACTTTCATCTAAAACTGAAGTTTTAATTAATGGCTTTTTATATTTTGAACCAGTTGGTCTTAGGTTTTGTTAGAAAGACCTTGTATTCTTCAGGCAATTGTTTGGTGGCTTGATTGGAAAATCTTTTACTTTTTGTTACATACCTGTTTAGTCTTTTCTGATAGTATTTTAGCGAAACTTCTATAACTGAAATAACTATATGTCCATTGAAAAATTGGTCTTTTAGGGCCAGGCGCGGTGACTCACGCCTGTAATCCCAGCAGTTTGGGAGCCCAAGGCGGGTGGATCACGAGGTCAAGATCCTGGTCAGCATGGTGAAACCCCGTCTCTACTAAAAATACAAAAAATTAGCTGGGCATGGTGGCGCGTGCCTGTAATCCCAGCTACTCAGGAGACTGAGGCAGGAGAATTGCCTGAACCCAGGAGGTGGAGGTTGCGGTGAGCCGAGATCGCGCCATTGCACTCCAGCCTGGGTAACGAGCGAAACTCCGTCTCAAAAAAAAAAAAAAAAAAAAAAGAAAAATTGGTCTTTTATCTATGTAAATATCTAAGTCATTTATAGCTAAACAAAGTTATAAGCTCAGATTCTGTCTTAAATCATATTATCTTTACTTTTTTTACATAACAAACTGCATTTTTTTCTCTTGCTATGTTCTAACATATTGCAATTGTTATTCATCATGAAATTTCCAACATACCTTCTTTCTGTCCATTTTTTCTTTATTGTCTGTTACTAGTTTCTGTATCTCCTCTCAATTCTGATTTCTTTTTAGATTTTAAAATTTGTCTATGCTTATTTTTAACTAAAAATATTTAATTATATAATAATTAAAATAACAAAAATGTAAATTTAATTACCAATAACAAGATACAAAGGGATCCTCATAACTTGTGCTGTCCACAAGCGTTCAACAAACACATTACAGTGTTACCTGGATCAATAAGAAAAAGTTATTTGAACTGAATCATTCTCTAACACCAGTTAAATGGGGGAGGTACTACCATAGAGGACACATGGACCTGCCATGAGAACTTCAACAATAGTACCCTATTGGTTGGAACAGTTTGAGCAAAATATAGGCAAAACAAAACAATGGAGTTGTGTTTAACATAAACACATTTTGTATCACTTCAAGTTTTTACATTTAAACTAAATTAAATTTAAAACTTAGTTCCTCAAATTTTAAATGCTCAATAGCCACATGCTACTAGCTACTACCATATTGAAAAGCACAAGTATATACCCAAAATAAATTATTGCATAGGGGAAAGGTTATATGAACATGAGATTGAGGATGATGATTAACTCAGGTGAGGAGAGCATGAATGGGGAGCTCTGAATCATATAGGTAGATATGGTTATTATTAAGATTCCAGATTTTATTTTGCCTAGTAGGTTCATGGGTATTTATTTCATTATTAAAAATAGCTACCTAAATAACTAAGATGGAGCCATCTGAATAGTCGAGATATCGTTTTTGACAGTTTTAGTACACAAACTCTGTGTATCCATATGTATACATAATAACACAAGACTATAAACGTATATTCACATGTACTAAAGAATGTACACATATATGGGGGCATACACAAAAATGTACACATATATTCAAAACACGCTCACAAGTAAGCTTTTATTGAACAAATGGGATCATAGCATTCTCTTTTTGTGGATTTCAGATGTACAGATTTGGGATTAATTAAAAACTTGGGTCCATGACACACTTATCATTGATCTGTGTTTGGCCATGTTAGAATTTTTACTAAATTTTTTAAATTCATGTATTTAACATGTATGTGCATATCTGTTCAAATCATGAAAGTTCAATTTTTTTTTTTTGGCCATTTGCTTAGTCTTTCTTACTCCCTTTTTCAGATGAAAAATGTCTTTTTCTCCCCTTTTTCATTTTATCCTACGATGGGAGGAGGAACCAATGTTCGTACATGACAGATGCATATAGTAAGTTTCTTTTAAACAGCAAGCAGTTTATTTCCCTACCATCACCGTGCCCCTGAGCCCTCAGTGGAGAAGTCCTACTGCAGTAGAAAGTTCTCAGTGATGAAGCTGAGCAAGGACTTTCAAGGCAAACCACTTCTTATTAATGCTACTTCTTTCTTACAAATGCGTCTTCACCATATTCCTCTGCCTTTATGTTCAGTGTATTGTTTCGTTTTGAAGCAAAAGCATTTAAAAAAAGGTTTTGGAACTAACATTCATGTCCTAATTAGTAATGTGATGCCTTTTTTTCTTGGTAATGAATGTTGTAAGGTTTTGAACTAACTGTAAAATAATTGCTTTTGAAATAGTCCTCTCTGAAACTTAACTATATACCTGTTAAGCTATGTATTATGTTAAGTAAATTACCATTTTTGCTCATGTGAATTAGAGGATTAGAAAGTGAGTAACAGAAGTAAAATATTAAGGTAGATTTAGAAATTATTATATTATTGCTAGAGTTTCAAAACTCTGACTTCATTGTAGAATTTAAAAAACTTGTATAAAACATTGTAGAAAAGAAAACTTCGTACAACAATAACAATGGCTTCTTTTACTTAGCTCATTAAAAAAAATTTCAACCATGTGGCGGGGTGGGGGCTCACACCTTAAATCCCAGCATTTTGGGAGGCCAAGATGGGCAGATCATGAGGTCAGGATTTCGAGACCAGCCTGACCAACATGGTGAAACCCTGTCTCTACTAAAAATGCAAATATTAGCCGGGTATGGTGGAACGTGCCTGAAATCCCAGCTACTTGGAAGGCTGAAGCAGGGGAATTGCTTGAACCGAGGAGGCGGAGGTTGCATGAGCCAAGATCACACCACTGCACTCCAGCCTGGGCAACAGAACAAGATTTCGTCTCAAAAAGAATAATGATAATAAAGTCCAACTGTGCATACATGTACAGCAATCTACAAGTCAGTCAGGTCTCCATCTCCATGAGAAGCATCACATCTAGAATTCAATTTTAAAAAGCCTTACAGGGTACTTGATTGTTTGCCTGGAAGCCTAATCTGGCTTCTCATGAAAAAAGGAATGGGAAACTGAAGTAACTGCATGCTAAATTGAACATTTTTTACATTTGTTTATTAAAAAAAAAACAGCTTTTGTTTATTCACTACTAATCCTGTCCTCTTGTAGTATAGAGCATAAATAATTATCAAGCCTCAGATATGTCTTCTTTGAAAGCAATGAGGGGATTTTATTTAGCTTGCTAGGTAGTTTCTGGGCCATGTTTCCATCAGGCCCACTCTCATCTGTTCTGTCCACTGTTCCCAGTCCCCACAACCTCACTGTCCTGACCCTACCAGAATGCAATGATGTGATGGTTCCTGGAATGCTCTTCTTCCCAAAAAACAGCAATGTGGAAGGGGTGGGAGGGGGTGTAGCAATGATCATTATGATAAGATGTTGTATCCTAAAAGCCAGGGAAAGTCTTAACTCCCAAGACATTGTAACTGGTTAATTATTAAATACCTCTTAACAGATAGTCTGTCAGAAAATGAAAAGAAAGGAACAAACTGAGCATAATTCAAACCTGAAAAGTGACTTTTCTAGCCAGGATCTGATGTTGTAAACTTTTTGCAGATATATATAAGTTAAAATGTGCTGTGATTCATTATTTTTCTCTTTCTCTCTTTTTTTCTCTCTCTCTTTTCCTTTCCTTTTTTCTTTTTTCTCTCTTTTTTAATGTGGTAAGAACACTTACATGAGATCTACAGTATCAACAGATTTTTTAAGTGTACTATACGGTATTGTTATTTGTAGACATAATGTACAGCAGATCTCTAAAACTTATTTGTCTTGTAGGCTGAAATTATATGTGTGGATTATCAACTCCCCCTTTCCCCCTTCCCTTAGCCTCTGCCAACCACCATTCTATTCTTTGCTTCTATGAGTTTATTTTAGATACCTCATATAAGTGGAATCATGCAATATTTGTCCTTTGACTTGCTTATTTCACTTAGCATAATATTCTCAAGGTTCATTTATTTTGTTGCAAATGTAAGGATTTCCTTCTTTTTTAAGGTTAAATAATATGCCATTGTATGTATCTACTGCATTTCTTTTTTGAGGTGGGTCTTCCTATGTTTCCCAGGCTGGTCTAAAATTCCTGATTCAAGGGATCCTCCCATTTCAGCCTTCCAAGCAGTTGGAATTATTGGTATGAGTCACCAAGCCCAGCTATTACACTGTATTTTAAAATCCATTAATCTTTCAATGAACTGTTGTTTCCATATCTTGGCTATGGTGAATAGTGTTGCAGTGAATATGGGAGTGCTAATATCTCTTTGAGTTCCTGATTTCTATTCCTTTGGATAAATACTCTGAAGTGGGATTGCTAGAATCACATAGTAGTTCTATCTTTAACTTCTTGAAGAATCTATGGTTCTTTAGCAGCTTCCCCATTCTGCATTTCTATCATTTCTACCAACAGTATATAAAGGTTACAATTTACCCACATCCTTGCCAAAATTTCTCATTGTTGTTCTGATAATAGCATGCTAAGAGATGTGAGATGATATCTCACATGGCATTGATTTGCATTCCCTTGGTGATTGGTGATTTTGAGCCTCTTTTCATATACATACATGTTGACCATTTGTGTATCTTCTTTTGAGAGATATATTTTATGTTCTTTGACTATTTTTAAATTGAGTTATTAGTTTTTTTCCTATAGAATTATAAGAATTCCTTATATATTTTAGGAATTAACCTCTTATCA